CTCACTCACTCACTGTTAGCGTTACCCAGCACTCAACATGAGGAGGATGTTATTTGTGAGTGTCTGTAGTAGTGGAACTAGTAGTAGCAGCAGTAACATTCCTGACTTTATTTGTTTATGAAACAAAGGTGAAATTAATTCTTCACTGACTTTCCTAATTCATTATGTCATAATGCCAACATAAAGTATGCCATTTGTTTTATTAATGTAAATGAATGACCAGCATATGTGTGCGTGAGCTTAGTTGTACGCCTCACTGAATATGCCAGCTATATGGCGACATCTGTAAATAATCGAATCTGGACCAGACAATCCAGTGATCAACATCATGAGCATCGATCTACGCAATTGGGATACGATGACATGTGTCAACTACGTCAGCGAGCCTGACCACCCGATACCGTTATACTGTCGCCTCTTATGACAAGCATGGGTTACTGAATATCAATTCCACCCCGGATCTTCACGGGTACCAGCATATGTGTACAGAATACAAAAGGAGCAGACTAGTAAACTACTCATTGAGTTAAACATTGGTAAGTGGATTTGTGACAATCCCCGCATTCATATATTACCTGACAATATAGTTTCGGGGAGAGTTGTGGCTTGCAATGACAATCAGAGATCCCCAAGCTGGTCCCGAAGAGTAGAATACATGGAGAAGTGCTTCTAACCACACCTATGAATGAAATTTTAGCCTTCAGAGCTTTTAGGTGTGTTTGCGGGTGGAATGTCTTTTCATAAATAAAAATGTTTTTGAGGTTTTAGCTGACCTGAGCATTTTGAAGACGCATGAAATCTGGAGTTAAGTAAAATGAAATCCCATCTGCAGCGCCTGGCATCATGCACGCCCTGACCAGCAGCGTCGTCAGCAAAACGTACGGCATCGTCGCAGTCACGTACACCACCTGTGACACACGGTGGTCAGTATATCGTAGAATGAAAAACGAACATGTCCCCTATTGGCCTACAATGTGTCACTACATGTTAACTCATTATCAGAACAAAATACATATATGTGCACTGGTAAATGCAATAAGCATAAATTCAGACACTTTGACAAAGAGAAACTTTCAATTTCCAAGGTCAAGCAACAATACCTTTCCAAGAGATTTGACTCCTTTCATCAAACACAGGAACATGCTCACACAGGTAAGAAACCAGCAAATGACGAGATGCGGCTGCAGGGATCCCATATCTTCCAAGCTCGAGGAAATGACAAGGACTTTGTATCTTAAACATATAACATGGTCAGTAATGAATAACCGAAAACCATGTGCAAATAACATTGGATCGAATTTGAAACCATTGAAGTGAACTTACTGCCAAAACTCCTCTGTTGATGTGTGACCAAATGCATTTGTAACTGTTCCCGAGAGGTTTGAATATGTCGTTCTTGTTGTGTTGAGACTAAACATAGCTATCTCCGTCGTAGTACCAACTTCACGTCTCGAGCCTGCAGCAGCCACACACTGTAGCGTGTTCCATGAATTGCCACAAGTTGTCCAGGGCAGGACGGTGGAGAAGGAGTTGTACAGGTAGTAGAGGGCCCAGGTAAACATCATGCTGTAGTACGGGACGCTCACACAGTTTAGTATTAGTATACCATAACCGATACCTTGAAAACGAAGATAGTAATGCAAGTTACCACCGCTTTGGATTTACTTTTAGGAAGAAAAAGAGATGAAATTGAATGTCAACATATATCATAATAAATTATGGTTGCTCTGAGAAAGACTTCATCAGCTTTTGACAGTTACATTTCATTTGGGACAAAATATCATCCACTTAATAATGATAATAATCAAGACATTTGTATAGATCTGATCTCCACACCTGATGGGCATGCGCGCTGTAAGCGCATACTATAGTTCAAGTCAATTTTAATGTCTCCCAAAGAGATAGGTCTGGAGATAAGCTATTAAAACGTCAAGTGAGGGAGAACATCTCAGATCATACGGAAGTTCCAAAGTACAGCTGACGCAAACTGACAAATCCTTGCAGCAAATGACTTAAACTTGTCGGAAGGAACACAAAGGAGGAACTGACGCAGTGGCACTGGTACACCGTGCAGTACTTTTATCCAATGACATGTGTTATCAATAGCGCAAACAGATACAGCCGTTTATATTTACCTTTTAATGAAGGACACATCGCCCAAACGCCTATGGGACCTTTACGGGAAAACTGACCAAGGGCAACTTCCAGGAAGAAGAGGGGTATAGCCACAACAACGATGCAGATTACGTGAGGTATCAGAAATGCACCTGCAGTTGTGAAATGGGAAGTGTGAGCAAAATGTTTTGGTTTGCTTTGAGAAGTATCTATGCTACAAGAGGGGCAACTGATCGGGATCAGGGTTGTTTGAGGATGAGGAAGCATTGAGGGACACGGGACGCAGACATACACCTTGACGTAGACTCACACTTTCACGTAGCAACTTTATAAAGCAACCAGCAACTTGCTACAAAGGGACCCATTAAGATATTAAGATACAATTGCATTGTATGAGTGAACGTGTATGAATAATATTTGGGTCTGTTTGGATTATTGTTGCCAGTTTCTGTTCTGTTTATACAGACGGTTGACGCTTTGACAGATTACATATGAATAAGACCATACCTCCTCCGTTTCTTTGACAGACATAGGGAAACCGCCATAAGTTTGCTAGACCCACAGAAAATCCAAGCTGAGCAATGACACCTTGAAACGCGTTTGACCATTGTGCTCTCTTCGTATGTTCTTCACCTGATGTCACGTTGGGCTCCTGAAGAGGAACGTTTACAATCTGCTCCTTACTCATACTCAGCAGTGCATGTGTCGTCCTGAAAAAAATGAAATGTGTCGTTAAAGTCAGTGAACAATAATCAAATATGAGAATATTGCCAGTTATATATTGTTACCTGTTGTCAATTACGAAATAGTCATCAGGCCGGCTGTCGTTTACCTCATTCGACAAGCAGTGACACAGAACGTAAGCGTGACATCACCTGTATTGCCCTCACATAGCAAAATGATGTAATTTCATTGGAAGTCAGTCTGTTGCCTCAAACTCTAGGAAACTACCCCAGGAATCAGCAATAACCCGATTTGATAGTTTTTGGGTGCAGGCAGAGACTAAAAGAAGACATGTATGCGTTTTGATGAATCACTTCTGAACACTTCTGAGCACACTTCACACCCTAGAAAATTGCTTCACATGTGCCACACCGTGATCTCTCAACTCGGACACCATGTCAAACTAAGACGTATTGTCTAAGCGATGATCACGATACTTTTCATTGCCTTTGCTACAATTGAGGGACTTATGGAGAGATACAAAAACAGGTAGCACATCCAATGTGTCGGTATATAAGAAGTCAATTGCTATCTCCTGCCTACTATCGCCATAATGAGCAAAGATTGTGTGATTTGAGCATGAGTTTGTCTTTTTACCAATTGTTTATGTTTAAAGCATCTCAACGGAGTTCGGATAAACCAATTAGCTTGACGTTTGCAATAACCTGCATATGATATCAAGCTCCGCCGTGTCCTCTAAAATATGATTCCGATCTCTGACAATGCCTTAACTTGTATTGAGAGTCCGGTGGACAGTCATTGAAACGCTGAAGCCTGCAGATGATAGCAGGTTAGTGGCTTGTCGTTTGCCATCTTTTATCGGCAGTGAGCTCATTCTCTTGATATCCTTAACGTCTCTTGCTATACCATACACTTCTACACTATAGTAGAAGGATTAACAAATTAATCATTCCACTAGTTAACAAAGCAGTCATGACAGACTTATACAGAGAAGCTACGTTCAGTTTAAAATACTTTTACAAAATGTAGTAGTACTGTTGTCATTTCAACTTACTTACTGGTTCCAACTGACTCCACCCGATGTTCTGGCAATGTGGAAATGTAATACGTGAGTGTCGTGCCCAAATGTATGCATGATGCGTCCTCACGTGGTTGTTTGAATGGAGATCACGTTAAACGTGCTGATGTACGTTTTATGCATATGTACTTAATCTGCCGATGTCATGCTAGTATTACATTGGAACGAACGGGGACATGCGCACTGACGGACATCAAATACTTCATAAGAAATACCTTCAATACATGGGACGGTGGGGTACCCTAGTGGTTAAAGCGTTCGCTCGTCACACTGAAGACCCGGGTTCGATTTCCTGTGTTGGTACAATGTGTGAAGCCCATTCCTGGTGTCCCCCGCCGGATATTGCTGGAATATTGCTAAAAGCGGCGTAAAACTAAACTCACTCACCTTCAATATATACAAAAAGCGACTAATCTTTTATTGTTACACACTCCATTTCATGCAAAATTCAATGTACGATTGTTTCTTTTGCAATAAATGGCAACATGAGCCTAGATATCAATAGTGTGGTTATATCGGCATGATGTAATCAAATACATTGTCGTTGGAGATGGACATGGACAGCACAATATTACATCTTCATTATTTCGAGGTATAACTGATCACGCTATCTCAGTGTCTCGGTATATGTATTGTACGATGAATGCATATTCGATCTATACCTAAAGGGTTAACTATGTAATTAGGCCCAAGACCTGTAACACACATACATTTGATGTTACTGTTCATGAGCACCATTAGGTAATGAATAATCATATCACAAATACAGTTGTCCCAGAAATTATTAAGAAATTCTTCGTTTCCTCCCCCGTTGAAATGCAAATGGGTAGGCGTCGTAAGTCAAAAGCCAAATACACAAAATCTGAGCAAAAATATTATATTTGGCAAGTTTGGTATATGGTATGTTACATATCACTTTTTCAGCAGCACCATTTTACAAATAACCATACAGCTGGTATGCAAATATGGCACCTTGCATTATAACTTATTGTCATCTGATACGTACGTGACTAGTGTTTCTGACCAGAGAATTAAGTGACAGTGTGATAAATTATTTAAGTACAGTATCTTCTGTATTTTGTCCAAATCCTACCACTTCAGTTTGAACAGTCTGTTTGATTTACTAGTGGGCACCGATGATGTTGGCACCATCAACCCATAGCTTATCTTCTTTGGCAAGCCACTTGAACAGCCCCTTACTTTTCTGCAGGAAAGTTATCTCGCAGTCACCATCTTCATGATCAATATCCTCAATCCTCCCGACACACCATTCGCCCTCGTAGATAGCAGCTACATAGGTTTTTGTGTGAAGGTAGCTACATGAGCAGATTTTAGCTGATTCTTTTGAGATGTTCTCCGTTACAGGCCGTTTACTAACTGTTACCTTCTGCTGACCCCAGGTGTTACAGAAATCATAAGAAAAACATGTGAAACAGTAGCATCATGTCGCTCTTGTCGTATAAAAACTTTCCCCTGTCGAATGGCCTCATCGTCCATCCTTTTAGTGGTAACCCCTAAGCCGTCGCATGGCCCCTTGCCGTGGCTGGCCTCAAAGTAGTTCCAACGGGCGTTCATCCCAAAGGTTTCCTGATGATTGGCCACAAGTTCATTAATAAAGCGATTCCGGTACTGGCTTGAGTGGGAGTCAGTCCAGTAGTGAATTGTTTTTGCCTATCTCATAAAGTTCAGGCAGCATCTTCTCGATAAAGGCGCAGACTGTACCGGCTGATTGTGATACCTCATCGGAAAGAATGACAAAGCTCTTTAGACAAAGCTTTTCTGAAGTCCTCCAGTACGCAACCGCTGAATGTAATGTGACCGAGGCTTGGTTCCATTAGGCCGTATGAATCTCGTCAAAGGACCTACAAGAACAAGATTTCTGCAGTCCATCTGCAGTATAAATTCGTGTTCTGGAAGATTATCTTTGAGTGTATACAGTTGCTTGTACTGCTCTTTGACTCAAGATTCACACACCTATATCTTTTCAAAATACGACCTCCAGTTACATTGTGCATTATGTGTCTCTGCTTAGGGTTTGTTTTTCTCTTTCTCTCACCAAATTCTGCGACGATTACCTTTTTTAAGTTACAACTTCCTTCTGACCAGAGCACCACGTTTTTTTGTGAGATCCAATTTGTTAACATCAGCTTCAGTTTGACGACGAGGTGTGCTTGATGTTTCATTTTGTTCCTTCCTCAGGCGCTCTAGATGTTTGGATTTTGATTTCAAATTGGATATGTCAAGTTGGGGACTTCTGATGGTTCGATGAGACCTGGCCTTTATCTTTTTCATCCCTGAACTTTTGTTAGATGAAATCAATTGATGTCAGCTTCACTTGCAAAATTGATGGTTGGTTTTCGTCATCAGGACTTGTGATGCAACACTTCAATAACCACTTGTCTCAGCCTCAGTCTGTTCATTGTTTCTATGCTGACGTTGCTTACGAAGTCTTGACAGACGATTTGTCACCTTTACTCCCTTATTTCGTTTCTTAAACGCTTTTCAATTAAGCTGACTTGCAGGAACATAATACGACTGTATCCTCAATCGTTCTTTTGCTTTCTGCCTTTCCCAATATTCTTTCTAAATTTCTGCTCTACATTTTCCTATCTGGAATAAGAAACAAATGAGTAACGTATGTATAATACATTTCGATACATACGTTACCATATAATTATGCTTTTCCACATAACATAAACCCAGGGCTAATCCAAATGTTATTACAACAATATTACAGATGTCTTATAAGCTACTAAAGTACGATTCAATCCGCCCATCCCATTAAACAATCAAATATTCAAATCGATATACCTATCATTCAGAGAGGTGACACTCACTATGTTTTGTAAAGAGATTGAGTGAGTGAGTTTAAAATTGATCGTCACATCGGCAATATTTCAGCCATATCGTGACGAAAGTACCTTATGTAACAATAAAAAAGTATGAAATATATTTAAAGGTTATAAAATCCTGTCGTCAAAGGACAGTACAATAACTAGTACATCACATTTTATTTAAAACTAGTTAGGGAGCATATAAAATAGTAAACACGATATAAAATGGGCTATAGATCGCCAACAACTGAAGTTAGGACACCATACTAGGGATCATGGGGACTTACAGTGCCTTTGCTACCTGCATGGACACTAGCTGGATTTACACCATCCCTCAGCAGCTGCGATTATAGGAATATTTAGCCAAATTTAAAATCATAAAAATACTACGTTCTAAAAAGTTTAAAATATATTAAGTTTAAATATAACTTTGGAAGTTTTGGGACTTACGTACCCTCTCAGGAGGACACTTTTTTACGATACTTTAACCCACTTTGAGCATACAGCCACTATCCTTCTCAGTATATAATCTCAACTACCAATTATAAAATACCACATATCTATGTACAAAACATATTATCAAAATGTATCTAGTAATTCTATTTCCTTAAAAAAAAATGTTATTAAATGAAAATTAACATTATAAAAAAGATCCTTCATTGTTTTGACATTGAAATATTTTTCCCTTGTGATGGAGAAATCACTAGTCAAGCAGGACATGCTTAACTGTGATTATCTCATCACAAGGGATGCAAAATGGAGGATCTTCGCCTTTAACAAGTATTCATGGGTATATCTGCTGTGGCCAATACGACATCGTCGCATAATGACCTCTGTAGAAATGTATGCAATTATTTTTCGATTTAGAAAATTTAGAGCCATTTTCAAGACACCATTTATTTATCTTGTTTAAACACAACTGCAGCTGCCATTCAATCAATCAATCAATCTTTATTTCAGTACTTAAAAAGGCCACAGGCCTGTAGTACATTTGGAGTTTACATAAGTAGATAGAAGTCATTTATACATTCTTTTCTGCAACAATACTTTTTCTTAATATCATAGCGAAATAGATGTACATTGCCAGATTCTGTAATATTGATGTGGTAGTATCTGTTAATAGTGAAATTAATGTTCTTACACTTGGATGCTTATAATAGTATGGCTTTAGGTATTTTGTTCGTAGAGTCGTATAAACAGGACAGATTAGAAGAAAATGTAGTTCATCCTCAACAGTACCCATATTACATAACTGACATATTCTGTTTTCTCTTTGTATACCTGCATACCTTCCAGTTTCAATAAATAATTCATGGGAAGAGCAACGAAAACGAGAGAGACCTATACGGAACTTCTTTACGCCGATTTTTGCTAAATAGTCTTCAAAACGTATGTCCGATTTCCATTGATTATAGTATAAACATTTTGTGGATAGAAGTAGTGATTCCGACCAAGACTGGAAATAGATATCTTTCATTCTTTGTGTAAATGATATGATAAAATTGGTATGCAACTGAACATTGTGATCACACCACACATAACCATAACCAGTTTTGTACAACAACTCCCTAATATCACTCACCCAATTTCTTTTCCCATTTTCGTCATACAATTTCATCATATCATAACATTTTTTCGGAAACCTATGACATGGCATATGCAGTTATCTTACCCAATACTTTATGGCTTTAACGGAAGAGTATATAAACAAGGGGAATCTACCTAATTCTCCGTAAACCATCCTATTACATATGTTCGGTTTTACACCAAGAAACTTTTTGCATGCATATAAATGAACTCTTTCAATACTGTCATATTGTTGTAATCCCCATATTTCAGAGCCATATAGAAGTATTGGATTTATCTTCATATCGAATATTTTAAAGAATGTGTTAAAGGACATTTCACCCAACGATCTCATATCTTTACAAACACCGATTAGGATTTTCAAGGCTTGTGCTGACGCTTGTTTTGTGTGTTTGGACCAGGAAAGGCTATTACAAAAATATACACCAAGATACTTATAAACACTGGTATTTTTGAGTAGTTGCCCTTTATAATACCATTTTTCTAATTTAGAGAGCTTTCCACCTTTCTTAAAGACGATAATTTTGGTTTTGTCTCTGTTTACACACAATTTATATTGGTCAGTAAAATTGTCTAATCCATCTATTTGTTTCTGTAATCCGCTAACAGTACTAGAGAATAGTACAATATCATCGGCAAAGAGTAGCAGAAATAGTTGTATTGTATCTGGGTGTAGTTGAATCCCATTCGTACATGTGGCACATATTTGTATTGCTAATTCATTAATGAAAAACGTAAAAAGGAAAGGGCTTTAAATACAGCCTTGTCTAACACCTAGTTCACTAATGAAAGGTTCAGATAATTCATGCTGATTCCTTACACACACTTTAACATTTCCGTATATACTCTTCAACATTTTATTCATTTTACTACTAAGACCGTAGTAGAAGATTGTAGAAGTCTCCATAGTTTATCCCGCTGCACAGAATCGAAAGCCTTTGCAAAATCAACGAATAGTGCGTAAAACTTTCCACCTTTTGAGCTGAGGTATCTTTGTATTAGGCTTTACAGTATAAAGATATTATCTGTTGTTGTATATCCCTCCCTAAAGCCCGCTTGACCCTCGTATACATTCAATAGTATGCATATTTTTACCACGACTAGAAATCCATCATCTATTAATCATTTAAAACTTTTGACAAACTATTTATCTTTACATTAAATAGTGTGACAGACAAAATACTTCCTTGTGGAACACCCTGATCCTGATTGTAATGATCAGACAGGGTTGAACCCACGTGGACTTGAAATAGTCTGTCATTTAAACAGTTGGCTATAAATTGAGGCAAACGGCCTCGCAATCCGAAGCCGTGTAATCTCTTAAAATGCCATATTTCCACGTAGTGTCATATGCCTTTTCAAGATAAATAAAGATAGACACAGCGTTTTGTTTATTAATTAGAGCGTTTAAAACAAATGATTCCAAACGCACAAAGTGATCGACAGTACTTCTGGTTTTATGGAAACCTCATTGTGTATTTGTTATACAGTTATTCGTTTCCAAGTACCAAACAAGTTGATTATTTATCCATAGTCTTACAAACACAGCTAGTTAGTGAAATCTGTCGATCATTAGAAGGATCTGTATGATCACGTCCAGGTTTAGGGATGGGAACAATAATAGCATCACGCCACGAAGAAGGGCATTTTCCAGATGTCCAAATATCATCAAAAATAGATAAGAGCGTCTCTAAACATGGTTCTGGCAAGCGCTTCAGAAGTTGATAATGCATGGTATCAGCTCCTGTAGCAGTATCTTGAGCTTGTTCAAGAACCGTGTGAAGCTTGTGGATAGAAACTATTTCATTATAATCTTCAATCTGAATTGAAATCAATAGTTTTCTTTTCCTGCTGTTTTTGATATTTTCA